CACACATAGTTTAAAATGGCCGATATGTCAGTCACATTTAAAGCAGAGAGCTGTGATTGAATTTTTGACTGCGGAAGGGGAAGTGCCGATAGTGATCCACAGACGTCTCACAAATGTGTATGGAGAAGATACTGCCAGTGTGCATACAGTGAGAAGGTGGGTTACGAAGTTCAAAAGTAGTGATACGTCTCTGGCTGACAGGCCACGAAGCGGGCGGCCAGCAACGGCAGTGACTGATTCCAACCAGCAGAGGGTTCTTGAATTGATACGGGGTAATCGGCGAATCACGCAAGCGGAATTGAGCCATATTGTCGGCATTGGTCACCATGCTGTCGAATCCATCATCAATAACCTTGGATGCAGCAAGGTTTGTGCTAGGTGGGTACCGCGCATGCTTACAAACGAGCACAAGGCAGAGAGGAAAAGAATCTCCTCGGAACTTCTTCAGCGGTATGAACAGCTGGGAGACAACTTTTTGTCACGAATAATAACCGGTAACGAGTCCTGGGTTCAATATTATGAACCTGAGACAAAACGGCAGTCTATGGAGTGGAGACATGACACATCCCCACGCCCGAAAAAATTCAAGACCCAGGCACCGGAGGGCAAAGTTATGGTCACTGTTTTTCGGGACATTCGTGGAGTGGTGTTGGTCGACTTTCTGGCTAATGGGTCAACGATCAACTCGGAACAATACATCAGCACTCTGAAGAAGCTGAAGGCCCGTATACGCCAAGCAAGACCACATATGAACATGCAGGAGGTGTTACTGCAACAATACAATGCCAGGCCTCACACAAGTCGTCTAACGTCGGAAGCCATTGCAAAGATGGGATGGGGTGTCCTTCCTCATCCTGCATACAGTCCAGACCTCGCCCCCTCTGACTTTCATTTGTTCGGCCCTCTGAAGGATGCTCTACAGGGGCACCATTTTCAATCAGATGATGATGTGAAGACGGCGGTTCGTCGCTGGCTGCATCAACATGATGAAGCTTCCTTCCGCAACGGTATAATGGCACTGCTTCCACGCTGGCGCAAATGTGTTGAACGTAATGGGGACCATGTGGAAAAATAAGTCTACAGAAATGTTCACACATGTTATTGCTAACTATTACTGTGTACTTGCGTTCAATTGTGATAAATCATTTGTCAGAAAATAAATCGGGAGCATTACTTTTGGGGTGACCCTCGTATTTTAACAGAAGAACATCTATACTTACTATTTATGAATTATTTTCAATGTGCTATTAAAATTGAGACGAATACTTTGAGGAATTTTTAGTGTCAGTAGGACTCTATCCTCTCAGTCTCTGAAAGATCTGCAGTTAGGTCGGCTCCTTAGAGATTAGGAAAAAATGGACATGAAAAAAACTCATAGAAGCTATCCTTAATCAACAAATAAGATGAAACTTCGCCAGTCACCATCAAAGACATCTGTCTTCCCATGATAACAGTAAGAATGGTGTATTGCAACAGGAAGTGCAGAACTTTTTGACCACCCCTCGTATGTTCCCGAGCATGCTGCAACGTGCTGAAAAGGCGGACATATTGAGCACCTGAAGTGAAGTTTTTTGCTGTATTTTTATTCCTTGTAAATGTACTTCCAAAAAATACAAATAGCTCCTAGATCCATTAAACCGTTTGTTTCTATTCGAATTTAAATGTTTTCAGTTACTTGGTGCCTATCCTGTATTCTTGAAAGTGGGCTCGCAGTTGCCGAGGGATTATTGTACAGTATACAGTTAAAAAGCGAAGTGTTTCCTATTGTAATTTGAAAAGTCTACAGGCTTTTTTGGCATGCCTATTCGACGCACGTGCCATTCCCATCTGATATACTTTCTATATCCATACGAAGAGACTGTATCCCGCTTCATGTGTCATTTTGCTGATCGTGCTAGGGATGCTATCATTCCCTATAGGATAGAATGTTGGCACCCAGTCAGCTCTTTTGTTGCAACAAAAGGGCGTAATCTGATTATGCCGTTCTATTTCATTGTAAATATGAATGCCATAGATAATGCATAACATGCAAAGGAAAACATTGAAATGAGTTCAAGCCTCCAATCAGGTACCTTGGCTTGGAAGTAAATAATGAGGTAGTCTTGAGCCTTCTTCATCATTTTCAATAATCTGGATTGGAGCTTGTTTTATGGCAGACATTAAAATAAATACATACACAATGCACACTAAGCTGCTGCTTAAATCAAATAGCATAGTGTTGGAATTGTATAGGAAATGTGTCTAGCTTTAGCCCCCGCAAGGTGCTCACTATAGGTGCCCACTGCTCTAAAGTAGGCTTTGGACAGACCCTGCCATGTCGCACACCGGGAACAAAAAAAGTATCCAGTCTCAGTGGAAAGCAAGGATTTCCACCCTGAGAAGAAGGAAAGCGAAATTTTCACATGCAGACATTGGCTTATAGATTGAAAGGCAAATTGCTATCATCAGTTGCAACGAAGAAAAGCATGCCGAAAGATAAAACATCAAGTATTCTATGGGAATTTCGCCCTAAAATGGGACAATTTAATTCCCCTTTGTGCCTCCATCGATGTTCGAAGTTCAAGGATATCTGAGACTGTCACCCTCTTCTGAAGTGTTGGTTCATCTCGGCGACAACCAATGCCAAAGGTCCAAGTGCAAGATCATGAAACTCGGAATCCCTTGCTGAGTCATACTTCTCGATTGTTGAAGCTGCTTGAACCAGATTGAATGCGAGTGATGTGCTGCCCTATAATTGCTCAGCTTGCTTGTGAAGTATGTGCTGAGGAAACAGTAAAACCTGAAATCTTCTATGCAGCTGGTGGATAGGCAATGCAGTTGAGAATTGTTTTGCTTGCATGGACCAATGTTACAGTTGGGATGAATCAACAAAATCACTTTCATGTATTGTACATGTAGGCTTGTGAACCATTATATTTTTTAATTGATCGCTTCTGAATTGCTTCTTCAAAATCTCATGGGAGGCCCATTCTATACATATCAATCATGTTTCCGCGCTTTGTCATATGAAAACATTTCGGATTGTTGTATTTCTTTTTAACTGCTGGAGATGTATTTATTTTTAACTTCTAGTTCCACCTGTTCATTAGTTGTTCAAACTCCATTAATGAGCAATGATAATGAACAACACCATTCAAGTTTCAGTAAGAAAATTCAGCTTTTCCACTTCACAGGCTGGTGCGGTTTCAGCATTGCTCCAAAGAAATGTTTCCCAATTGAAGCACAATCGAAACGCATCTGTAGAGATACTGACATCATCTGGTGATCTGATGAAACCGCTGCCGCTCGAAGCTCATAAAAGCTGACTTCTTATTGATGTTTTGACGACTGTTGCCTTTTATCCACAATAACAAGAGACTTTAAACTTTCATGGAATCGATTTTCATGTATTTCCTCTGCGAGAAACTGTTTTAAAAGATAACCCTGACATTTCTACAACAGGTTTTACAAAGCCTCAAACAGGATGCATATTTTATTTACTACTCGGTGTGTTCCACTTCGATTCTTATTACAAAGTAATACCTTTTTTCTTAAATGAATGCTACTAATGCAAATAACAATTAGTATTTACCCAGTAAATTCAGTACTTTTTAATGCTAAGTGCCCTCGAAGGGTACAGCTGTGTGCTGAGACGAGTTAAGGTGCATCTCATTTTTTTCAAATTCATCTAATGTTTCACGAAAGTACTTTTAATTACTCCTAACTATGCTTTGGCGTCAGAAGTCAAGCACAGCCAAAAGGGAGACAACTCCTTCAACTCTTGTGATAACTGGTTCATTACTTTCGTTATTGGGTTGCTTTCTAACTTCATCATTAGTAACTCCATTCTAGCACTTTCGTGGTTGTTCAGTTATAGGGTAAGTGCTGCGAATGTCGGCACTGGGGGTAATCTCGGCACTTTGCAATTGTCAAAGTTCTGCTTCCACTACTAGTGCCCTAGGCACGGGTAGATAAGTGTTCTCAGATGGTAGGACTAATTAGGTGTTACTGCAACAAGACAATGCCAGGCCTCACACAAGCCGTCTAACATCGGAAGCCATTGCAAAGATGGGATGGGGTGTCCTTCCTCATCCTGCATACAGTCCAGACCTCGCCCCCTCTGACTTCCATTTGTTCGGTCCTCTGAAGGATGCTCTACCATTTTCAATCAGATGATGATGTGAAGACGGCGCTTCGTCGCTGGCTGCATCAACAAGATGAAGCTTTCTTTCGCGACGGTATAATGGCACTGCTTCCACGCTGGCGCAAATGTGTGGAACGTAATGGGGACTATGTGGAAAAATAAATATACAGAAATTTTCACACATGTTATTGCTAACTATTACTGTGTACTTGCGTTCAATTGTGATAAATCATTTGTCTGAAAAAAATCGGGAGCATTACTTTTGGGGTGACCCTTGTACATTAACTCATTCTGAAAACCAAGTTGAGTGCAAGGCATGCAAAAGGGATTGTCTGCATCAGAAGTGTCATCTAAGCTTAAAACCTTGAATGTCTAGTTACCAGACTACACCCACAGCAACTGTTTGACTGAGACATCTCAAGACCCATTTCATCTGAAAACATGCTCTATGGGTCCTCCGTTGTTGTTGCACACAGCACGTAATCTTGCTTTCCAATGAGTGATAGACAAGTGGACCTCTTTCACTGTGATTTTATCCTGGGTCTCTTGGATGTTCTTCGGCAATTTTGTGATCCATTTTGGATCACTCAACTCACCAGCCAAACTTTCAGTGCCAAGAAAGACTTCAGCTTGACATATACCATACTTGTGCAGTTGCTCCTCCTCCCTAACTGGGCATGAAATATAAAATTTTTAGGTGTCTCACTTGAACAGCCACTATGGGTACACTTTAGCAGCTATTAATTTATAGTTTTCATGAGGTTGAGAGGAAAGAAAGAAAGAGAGGAAAGGTATATAGATCTATGCTTGGTATGATTTGGAGGCCTCTGCCTCATGGAAGTTGAGAAATAAGCACAAAAATCTTGGTGTGTTTTTTATGAGCCACTTGGTACGTGGTGGCTCAGAGGCCACTAGCCAATGAGTACAATCTTTATTGGGATTGTATGGATCCAATCCACTGCTTTGTTCTTTTTATTGTTTGGTTGGGCAGAATGGAGAAGGAAGGGAGGATGGAGGGAATTGTAAGACTACAGCTGTGATGGACACAAAGGTGAAGCAGGAATTCCCCTCTCCTCCCAAGCAAGAATCACATCGAGAACGAGAACTGGTGAAGAAGGAACTCCACCCCCATCCCCATGCGCATCATGGGCATTCCCCGCATGGGAATCGGGGCACATCTAGTGCAGGGATGGGAAAAGATCGCAAGCCCCATGGACTTGGTCCCATCTCCTCAGCATCTTTCCCCTCCTCATCCTCCTCGTCTTCCGTGGTAGACAGTGATCTGGTGCGGGACCTCAAGGCTCAACTGAAGAAGTCCCAAAGTGAGCAGAAGGAGATGAAACTCCTTCTTGACATGTACAAAGGAGTTGCCAAGGATCAGCGTGATAAGGTCTGTCTTGCTGCCCTTTCCATTGTTTTATCCATATAAAGTGTATAAGTGAAAGAACTTCCATACTTCTATACTTAAAAAGGTTCCATCTCACATGCTAAAGCTTCAAAAATTGTCATTATATATGATAAATTGACTATTGCTATTGCATGTATTACCCAGTGTTTGCTTCCTATTGGTCTGTGTTACCCATATTTTGACAAGCACTAAAGCAGTGCTCATAGATATTGTGTTGAACATCCTTCATGATCACAAATTTTTCACCATCAAGGTCACTTCAAGGAGATTCACAATTGCAGCATCCACTTTAGGAAAAAATTGGTCCAGCAAATTAGGACAGTTTGTAAGATATACAAAATGACCAATGGGAGAAAAATACTTTAACTTGAGAACAAAAACAAAAAATAGCCTATGTTCATTCCCCAATGACCAGATGGTGTTATAAAATTTTGATTTAGTGCACGAGCAGGAGACCATGATGCTTAGCCTCTTTAGATATCTCGTGTATCTGGTGAGAATGAGATGCGAGGCCCATCAACAATCTCATTCTTCTACATAGTATGTGCCCAAGAGCACTAGCATCTAACTCTTTCATTAGTAACATTCTTTTTGTATGATAATTTTATTCAGCATTGGCTGTAATAAACATTTAGAAGCATGATGTTCAATGTTCATGCTTCATGCAATGTGAGAGTTTGCTGTATTTTCTCTGAAGCAGTGATCAAAGAGAAGGAAATTTCCTTCTTTTGGTGTCTTAGCCAGTGATTGTGCTCATGTATTGTTAATTTGATACCTCCCCAACCCTATATTCCATTGTGGCTGCTCACAACTGTCATGGTTCTCCCTGATCAGGAAGTGTAAATATGTTGAGAAAATATTGGGTTGGAAAGAAAGTCTTGCAACATTTTCTAAAACTATTTATAAAAATTTTCAAAGGAATGATGGGTGGGGCTTTGCATTTGTATATGCTGGAATGTTCTCGAAGCTTCTGCCCTCGGGGTATACAAGGCGGCTTCTGCCATTAGTTGGCAGCCATGGCTCCGATTGAACGAGCAACTCTTTGCCCCATCGTCTACTACGAGTTCTTCCAAGGACACTCTGCGAGAGCCGCTGCGGACAACATCTGCGCTGCATTCGAGGGTAACGTCGTCCACTATTCCACGGTGTCTCGATGGTTGAAACGCTTGGAATCTGGCGACACAACCTTCGGAGATCGACCACGCTCAGGATGTCCATAGACAGTCAATGACAAAGCCCTGCGGAATGCCCTCAACACGAAGCCGAACGCCACCACTCGCGAATCGCCGACTACACTTGGAGTCACCCATATGGCCATCGGCAACCATCCGAACGACCTCGGCTATCGGAAGGTTTACTTGACTTGGGTCCCTCATCGGCTCGGCGACTCTGACAAAGCAAGCTGTGTCAGTGTCTGCGAATCACTGCTCCTTCGTCCGCACAGAAAGGACCTTCTTACCACCGTGACTGCCGTCGTCTACGCTGCTCGATTTCAGAAGTTGGCTGGCGTCATTCAAAAAGAGCGTCCCAAACGCGACAAAGTTCTCCTGCATGACAACGCTCGTCTACATGTTGCGAAGATGACTCGCCAGACGATTTCGGAACTGGGCTTGGAAATTTTACCCCATCCAGCGTATTCTCCGGACTTGGCCCCTTCCGACTATCACTTGTTCCGGGCCCTCGAGAATCACCTGCGGGACAAGGCCTTTGACGATCGAGCACAGCTCGAAAATGATGTTGGCCGTTTCTTCGCTTCGCAATCGCCAGAGTTCTGGGCAAAGGGCATCGAGCAGTTACTCGTGCGTTGGGAACATGTCATAGACAACAATGGTCATTACATTGTAGACTGAAATTGCATTTCAAAAAAGTTATAACATTTTGAAAAGTTTGTGCAGTGTTGCAAGACTTTCTTTCCTACCCAATAGTAATGATATTCAATAGTCAAGGAAATTTCTCTCTTTGAATGTCATGTAAAAGTTTCTCAAGTTTGTGGAATCTAATTGACTGGACCTTTTGGTCCTAAGCAGCATGTTGAAAGCCTTCTTAATTAGTGTGGGTCTGCTGGAAACCTTAAGATCCTGAATCCAAGGTGTAAAAAATTCTTGTTTTCTTTCATGATGTTCATTGTTCATTTTGTTTAATGTCAGGTTCCTTTGATCTCTGAGAATGTATTATTTCAATCTTCTCCAAGTTTCTTACCCATCTTATACTCTATCTCTTTTTAAAATGAAATATTCTTCTGTCATCCCTGTTTCATAACATTCTTTGCCATGCCCCTATCTTCTCAGACATTATCAGCTCCTAAGTTTTCCATCCCTCTGACTGTTCTTACCTGCTTTCTGTGCTGCTGCCATGTTGAATTAACTAATTCAATTGAGATGAGTAGCTGTTAGCAAGGTTTTCTCAACTTGTTAGCATTCAAGTACATTGTTATTTTAATGCAACAATGCTTACTGCTAACTGATATAGATATTTAGAAAATAGTAGCCTAAGTTTTAAACAGAGTGTCCTATTGGGACCAACATAATAGATTGGGTTTATTTGTATATCTCATCTTTCATTTCTTACAATTTAACTATGCTTTTTGGAAAAGACATGGGAAAATTTAGAGGCTGTTTTTAGCATACAAATGTAACATATGCCTTTATTTTTACTCTGCTAAGAAAGTAAACTGATGCATCAAATTTTTTGTAGCTATTTAGTTTTTATTATGTATTCATCATGAAGCATGCATTTTCAATTTTCTGTAATCACTTGTGAAATAATATGAAAGGCATTTCCTTTATAGGTTAGTAAACACATTATAATGTGTTCACAATGCTAGATATCATATTTGATGAACCAACTCCATTGATTCACATGTCCAATTCAGCACGTCATGAAAATCAACCCCAAAAATAATTTTGTATAATACCAAAGTGAAACATACTTCCTTAATGATAAATCAATTTAATCTTGGATTACTAGCTCAAAGAGAAATAAGGTCAAGTCCTGAAAGGTTAATATTTTCTGCTTTTTCCCTAACTTCACTGGGGTCCCCAATAATATATATCAGTCTATGGTGGTCAACTCTAGTAGACATGCCAGTGTATTTATTAATAAATTTCATTAAATAAATTTTCTGTTGCACATGATACATAAATAGTATGCTGAGTGGTTCAAAAGAAATGTAAGTGAAATGGTACAGTGTTGTTTTTTAATTTGTTTTGTGTCATATATGCCATTTATATGTTTTCTCTGGTATTTCCAGCTACATTTCATTATTAAATAAATAAGTTTATGATGGAGTGTTTCTTTAGAAAGATGCACATTCAGAAGTAGATGTACTGGTAACAAAATGTTTGATAATCCAGTTTTCTTGGGAACTCTGAGAGGAATGGTCAAATTCTTTCATGAGTTAGTATAAGATTTGATTAGGTGTAATTAAGTTATTTCTGGAACAGGTATTGACTTATGATTAATTGAAATTTTATTGAGTTATTATTAAACTTGAGATTTATTAAGAGGAAAGGGATTTTGCAGGTTTCGAATAAGTTTTATCTCATCTTCTGAATATGCAAAATACTCTTTTGCTTTTCCAGATTTGCATGCCAGTATTGGTTGGTAATTGATGATTTGCCTTACATTCTCAAGTTTCTTTCTCCTAATCTCTTTTCTTTTTGCAACTTACATCATTCAAGTCCTCCCTGATTATTGGGTAATAGGTCTCATCCTCATCTACAAGTCTATGCATTTCCTTATATAAATAATTTACTCCCTTATTGCCATGAGTGGGCTTAAAATTTTAACTTAACTGTTTCCTGAGAGATGTTTCATGATGTTCTTATTTGGAAGCTTATGATTCCACACTTCATAGTTTGGGAAATAAGAAATCCAACTCGACCATAGCTGTTGGTATCCCTTCCACAGCAATGTAGAAGAGTTCAACTTGAAATTAATAGGTTTCTGTCTACAGGGTGTCCCAGAAACCCTGCCCCAAGTTTTGTCCATTGTGTCTTTATTTCTTTTCTGATGGAAATGAGTTTTGTATCATTCAAAAGCCTAGACCTTTCCTAACAACTGCTATTGAGCCTGATAGTTTGTGATTATTGGTTGTGGGGTTTTTTGAAGAAGATGGTGTATGCTATGAAACCCCTTACATCCCTAACCTCTTCAGTGCCATTTCCACCATGCGCCTTGGACATGGGATATGGGTGTAGTTGAACCAATACATCATATTGGTCATTGCTTATTCAGGGGTTGCGTTTACGCGCAAATGTGCATCCTTTATGCACAAAATTCCAACGGGACACACAAAAGAATAACACCGGGGTCCCCAGGACGCACGAGGAATTTGTTTACTCAAGCCGATTTTCGGACCTGTTGGCAGTTTCTTATTTTGAAACATGCCTAAATAGTCATCGTGTGAAAGTGACCCTGTTATTGCTAGGGAAGCAAAGAAATTTCCGAGACGGTGTGCGTACGTGAAAAGTGAGGAGCGCAACCTAAGTTGTATTGTGATCACGTGCTCATTGATGTACTTCCGTTTCTTTTAACTATGGCCTCAGGCAGCTCCAGAACTACGCTGTTCTCTTTCAGTTTCAAGCAGAAAGCTAATGTTAGTTTTTTTGAATTACCGTTTGCATATGTTCAGGCGTTCCTGAAAATAAGCCTAGTGTCACAGAAGATAAGGTAGGAACAGCCTAGGCCTAAACGAAGGTCATATATTCGTTTCACTTAGGATGCCCAGGAAGAGGAAAATTACCTTAGACCATCGCCTTGTCCAAGCAAAGGGAAAGGGATGGACGTGGGGGATGATGAGGAAGTCGAGCAGCATGTTAGCCATGATTTACAACGAAAGAGAAAAGATAGGAAATGGAAAACGGAGTGGGTCAACATGTATCCCTGGCTTTCCTGTAGAGATGGAAGAGCCTTTGAGCTTTCGTACAACAGCTGGCAAAGCTGTTGGATTTTTATGGAACAGAAAGGGAAAGTAAGGATGGACCTGTTTCAGGGCTCATAGATGCAGAACACTGTAAAGGGGATTATCTGCAATTCAAATTCTTGCTGCAAAGCATGCAAGGGAGGAACGTTTTTGATTGCATAAAACTTACCATTCAACAATTCTCTGATGACTTCCCAGACTTTGCTGTTCTTGGGCTGATTTTACTGGCAGTTCCCTTGACAAGTGTCAAATGTGAGAGGGGTTTCAGTTTAAAAAATTTACTGAGGAATAATTTGTGAAGTTGCCTCTCTGATCAACAAATGCTCCATCTAATGACAATAAACTTGAATGGGCCATCACTGGGTGAATTTAAATTTGAAGATGCCTTGGGGGTATTTAAGTCACAAAAGAAATGTTGGAAGTAGTCCCAATGCTGCTGGATTGCTGTTTGACTATGCTAAATCAGTGAATAAACATGGAATGCTGAACTTGTAATTTTTTTTTTACAAATTTACAAGATTTAATCATGCTTTGTTTGCAATGAAACCCTCAAAACTTTCAGAGGACCCTTTCCTATCAGACCTAAGGGTCCCTGGGACCCCGAAGGCAAGAATATTAGCGTAACCCCTGTTATTGGTGTAGTGAGGACTTTTGGTTTGGATCTTTCCATTGGACTTTCCAAGCATGGTTGTTCCTTCCCAGTTTAATCATTGGATCACACTGGTCCCTTCCCCCTGAAAACCTTGTGCTCTTTTGAGGTGGTCATAAGCCTCAGATGAGCTATTCCCCATTGTAAACTTTTGCATCTCTATGGTCTTCCTTTCACAGACCTGTAGGATCTTGCTCATCACTGGTTATGCTTATCTGAGGATCTTTATTCTTTTTTTTTTCAGGCCAATTCTGATTGGTAATATCATAGATATTGATGCAGATGACTCAGAAGTAACTTTAAAATCTGGTAATCTTCAGTCTGCATCCCGAATTAGGAATTGCTAAATGTGCTGTCCTGATGTTCTTATTTTCCTTTACTCTAAATTGCTGTTTATTGTGTGTGTGCAATTGGGTGTGAATATAAAGTCATTCCAGGTGTGTCTTATGTTGCAACAAGACATACTACATCTCTGCACAGTTGAAAATTATATAATTCAAATGATGTAGAGAAAGGGTCTCAAACTCATTTCAGTGTGCTGCATTTCTAAAATTGAACCTCTCTGTGGGACCTAAGTGTAAGATTGTAGAAGGAATGCTACCTTATAATTTGTATATTGGGCCTAAGATGTTTCTCTCACTGAGAAAGCAGGCAGGCTGCAGGCCACATGCAGGTGACAAGTTTGAGACCCCTGATCAAAACTATTGTATTACACTTACCTGCCACAAGAGAATTACACATGGCAAATGACCATGAGGAATTTTATTCAGGATTAAAAAATATTTCAGTAAATTAGCACACTGTGGCAGCTAAATTAAGATGTTGCCAGTATGTCAATACTTTCTTTAGTTATTGTTGTCCCACTAAATGGATGAAAAGAAATATGGAATATATATATATACATATATATGAAAAGAATATCCCTTCGAGATAACTTAATCAGGACAACCCAGGTGCTGGGAGTGATAGCCGACAACCACAGACACCTAGGCTTATTATATTATTGAGAGAGTCATGCCTATCAAGCTAAACCTATAGCCAGCACGAGTCCAAGCTATTGATAGAAAATGAGAAGAGAATACTGAATACTTTATTTGAAATTTGAAGATGCATTTATTGATTAATTATCATTTTTAACTGGAAAGGAATGGTAAAAGATACGGAAAAAGTTTCAGCAGCGCAGATATGGAAAAAGGGCATATGTGCATAAACACTTTCTGCCTGCATCTCAGCAATGTGAGATGAAGAAATTCATTACAACCCCAAGTTCAATTGGATAAAGGTCTAAGATACCATTTTACTGATTATTAAGTTTTGACCAGCTTTAGATTAGCTAAGGAAAGGTTTTATTGTTTATTTTGAATGGCATCTTTTGCACATATGCCCTTTTTCTAGAGAACTCCTCAATTGATTTAGTAGTGCTAAAGTTGTGTACAATCATAAAAATTTTATCTTTGATAAAAAGAGTACTAGCTATTAGCCCTGATGGTGAGGGAAAATTGTAAGGGAAATGATTAGGCACAACTTTTTAATTGAATTCTTTACTGAGGAAGGTGCTTGTATTTGTTCTGAGTTTTTTGGTTTTTCTGCAGGTGCAATTGATGGCAGCAGAAAGGAAAGCCAGGATGGAGGTGGATGAGTTGAAGCTCCAGCTCAAGAAATTCCAGGTTTGTAAACAATTTAAAATTTATTTCACACTCAGCCTGATGGGCATTTCATAACCAGTTCAGAATTTCCAGTTCGTTATGGTTGACATCCTTTTATCCTGGCAATGGTGATGATATCTGGTGTGTATTTTTCAGGACGCACGGAGGGAGGAGCGTCGGAAGCTGGCCGACGAAGATGCCATGCGCAAGATTCGTCAGTTGGAGGAACAAGTGCATCACCTGCAGAAGATGGTGGCATCTCACAAGCAGGAGGAAGCAGCCCTACTGAACGAAATGGAGGTGACAGGGCAGGCATTTGAGGACATGCAGGAGCAGAATGCCCGACTCATCAAACAGCTGAAGGAGAAGGATGATGCCAACATGAAGCTCATGGGGGAACGCATCAAGAGCAACCAGATCAACAAGCTGGGTCGGGAGGAGAAGGACATGCTAGTGGAACAGGTAAGAATTGTGATATGTTATTTTCAAACATAACATTATTGAAAAAGAATTGACTTCAACATTAACCAGTTAATGTTGAATCAAATCAGTATTATTGCTTGGTAGCTTTGGCTACTCATAACTTCTGTTAACCCTGTTTGCTTGCTGGCCCTTACTACATTGAGATTTGTGGGAAAATTTTTCATGCATCATTTTCTTAGCATAAGGATTTATTTGGAATGAACTTTGCTATTGCAATTTACATGTCTTCTTGCCAATTGCCAAATTTTTCTGAGGCTTGAATCTTCTACCCATGCCTTGGGTTTTTACATTACTGGTAGTAGAGTGGACATTGTATGTAATTTACCATTACGTTACTCCTAGCATAGTAATATTTCATTGGGCCTACAGAGAAGTTTATATTTTTTCTTAACCAGAAGCATAGCTCTAGGAAAACTGACTTTGCAAACTTGGCTCATTGGAATTAAAAGCTAAGAGAGGCTGGTCAAGAGAAAGTTGGACAGCTGATATGATTGGGAAGTGGAAAACATTTGTGAATGCAGTAAAAAAGTCAAATTTATGCAAAGAGGACTTTCTGATATGACTAGCTATGCAGCAAAGCAATCAGTGAAGGCTCTGGAGACTTTCATGGCTTTGGTTCTTGAAAAAATGAAAGGAGTTACCATTCTTTTTCCTCACTACTAGGTAGTAGTCTTTTATGTATTGAAATATGTATGCACTTGTGTTTACTGGAAGATTTCTCCAAAATATGCAAATTATTCTCTTTTTTAGCTTGCATTTAATTCATATGAAGTAGGGGAATGTAATATGAATTTCCCAACTATTTCCTTAAGATCAGAAGGTCATTTCCTGGAAATTGGCAGCCTATGCTTTGATTCTGTTTTTATTTTTAACAAAATGGAGCAACATATGCATGAATTAGTATGATTGTGCAAAACATCAAAGTATGACTTTTAAAATAGTACAAATTGCTTCCTCAGTAGTATGTGCTCCTGTTCAGGTCTTTCACTCCCATGACACAATAAGTAAAATATACATTTGCTTTACTAATGCTCCATAACCTTGCAGGTGAAGACATTGACAACGCAATTAGAAGCACAGAGACAAGTGGTGGTGAAGCTGGAGGAGAAGGAAGGACTCTTGCAGGCCTCTCTCATCTCCGTCGAGAAGGAGGTCCAATTGAGGACTCAGGCTGCCGAGACACACAAAAGGAAGGCCCTCGAGGCTGCCCAATCTGCCTATGATCTCAACCTCCACCTTAGTAAGTCTCATCCTGGACTTCTCATGTCTCTTGCCTATGTTGGATTTTATGACATATTGCCTCAGTGGAAAGCCCTTGCCCTGCAAGGGTTTTCCTACCCCTTCTGCATTTCTTGTCTAAATAGCCCTCAGTGTGGGAAAGTGCAATAGGCTAGTAGGGTCTCCTGCAGAAAATCGTTGAAGCCAACTGGGCTGCAGATGAGTTGGAAAAGATCAGCAATATAAATTTAGAAAACTTGGCAGGAGTGAGGGCTATGGACATTTGGATTAAAATGGGAAGAACAATGACAATTAGTGCAGCAGTGGAAGAGGAGAGATGGGGGTTTAGCTGCTGAGTGATGGACTTTTTCTGGGACTTTTCATTAAAGAATTGACAGTCTTGTCAAGAAAGTAAGTTCCACAGGAAGCTTATGAGCAGAGCAGACCTTTGGGGAAAGATATATTGTAATTATTCATATACTACTTACAAAAAATTTCATTATTTTATTTCAATTCTATTTTCATTAATAAGTACTCAAAAAATTTTGCAAATATTTATCAAAGGGTTTTTGTTTTTATGTCTCTCAAGATTTTCAGATATTTGGAAAATCCAATCAAGGTGCTCTTTTGGGATAGGTAGCTTTTTTTAGTGCTTTCCTGAGCCTCCAAAAAATCAGCTTTTGCTGCACCATTGGGAAGAGCAATTTTACAAATAAAGTAACACCAGAATGTTTTGGGATACTATCATATCTTCATCTGGAGGAAAGTTAGTGCTAAAACACTTTTGCTGTTCTGCAGGTTTTGTTAATTACCAAAAACATGTGGTAGCTGAAGTAATGGCAGCTGCAAAGGCACGGTGGTTCAGCTCAGTCAGATCGCAGTCCGCAAGGTCGCAGTAGCTAATGATCCGGTTGATCTCCTCGATGTCTTTGGAAATGGCAAGGTTGAGCTTTAGAGGTCTTAGTCGGGGTCGGTCGGACATCTGTAGGTACCGCAGATCTTCCAGATGGTTGAAGAAGGCGATTCTAAGTTCTTCAGAGGGCGCTTCTAGCTCTGAAGGAGCCTCATTTGCCCTCGGTGGAACCTGAAGTGGAGTTTCTTCAGGTTTTGCCTCCTCGTTTTCGGGTATACTACATTCTTGTTTGTCTGGCTGGAGTGTGTTCAGGATTTCCTGTTCGATGTTTTCCCGCTCCAGTTCTGAGAGCATGTTGTTCCGCTCGATATAGAGTCTCTGATTCGCAAGTCGTTGCTCGTTGATATTCAGCTCTGAGTAGGATTGATTCCAGAGCTCGAGCATTTTCTTCCGGTACGCTCCTGGCGCATCGGATCGTGCTTGATAGTAAACCCGCATGACGTCAATGTTCATGGATTTTGTCCATTTTATACGTTTCCGTGCGGGGGGCATATTTTCTGTAGCAGAGGAGGGTCGACTGTCAACCCCGGCCTCTGGGACGGAGCTTTCACCAGTAGTCGTTACTCCCACTTCTGTGGCAATCACGGCTTAAGTCCGTCTGTCAGTGCCACAGTTAACGATCGATTAGCTCGATCAGCCTCGCGACTGAAATGTATGGTAGACTCAACCCTATAAAGGAAAAGAAGCGAGAGCATTGCTCGGAATGGCTCAAGCCTATGAGGGAAGAGAAAGAGAAGGGGAAGGCTAGTTGCGAAACAAGCCTATGCCAGAAAAAACGTAGCCCAAGGAAAAGCCCTACCCTGCATTCAGTTAACTGTGTCTTGCACTGACAAGACTGTCTAACTGACTGGTCAAAAGTTATATTTTCTGATGAGTTAACTATTCAAGTATTAGATGACAGAGTTCAGACAGTTTGTAGAAGACAGGGAGAAGAATTTAGGGAGGATTGCCTCAGACAGATGGTGAAAGTTCCTACAAAAGTGACGGTGTGGGGGGCAATATCCACCCAAGGCACAAGCCGGTTACACCTTATTCAGGGAACAATGAATGGTGAAAAGTATGTGGACTTATTGAACTCACGTTTAAAACCTCAAATAAAGGACTGGTTCCAGGATAACCCCTGTATTTTCCAGCAGGACTCTGCACTTTGCCACACCGCACGCAAGGTCTACCATTGGTTTGGCAAAAATAGCATTCATGTACTACCATGGCCTGGGAAATTCCCAGACATGAACCCTATTGAGTCTTAGTGGGACCTACTCATGGACAGAATCCATGAAGTGCCCATTACCAACAAAACCAAGCTCATAGAAAGTTTTGGTAGAGGTTTGGTTTAGATTAGAAGAAATCCGGAATTTCTGTTCAACCCTTATTAGAGGCATGCCAGAGAGAGTGGAGGCCCTGATCAAGGCCAAGGGTGGTCATACTAAATACTGAATGGACTTAGGAGGTGTAATCTACAGTTTTCTAATACTTGCTATATGTAAATGATATTATTTTTGTGGGACATACTCAAGGACAGAATCCATGAAGTGCCTATTACCAACAAAACCAAGCTCATAGAACGTTTGGTAGAGGTTTGGTTTAGATCAGATGAAATCCGGAATTTCTGTTCAACCCTCATTAGAGGCATGCCAGAGAGAGTGGAGGCCCTGATCAAGGCCAAGGGTGGTCATACTAAATACTGAATGGACNAACAAAACCAAGCTCATAGAACGTTTGGTAGAGGTTTGGTTTAGATCAGATGAAATCCGGAATTTCTGTTCAACCCTCATTAGAGGCATGCCAGAGAGAGTGGAGGCCCTGATCAAGGCCAAGGGTGGTCATACTAAATACTGAATGGACTTAGGAGGTGTAATCTACAGTTTTCTAATACTTACTATATGTAAATGATATTATTATGGTTTGCAAAGTATGAATAAATGAATTTCCTTGAAATTTCTAATAATTTGTTCAGTACTGTACATCTAAATATGTAAACTTATTTAACATGAGAAAAATTTGATTGAAAGTAAATTTTAAATTTGAAAACGATGTGAAAAGGTATTCGAATTAAAATTTAGGGAAAAGTTTTAACAGGAAATATTATAACCAGCAGTTGCTCTTGCGGGAATCTTAACTGAAATGGTACGAAAATAAGTATTAATTTCTGAGTAGGCAATTAATAGTTTTTTTGGCATCAGCCTCGTCCAAAGTTGTTTTTTTTTGGTGGGGGGTGGGGGATTAATTAATTAGGGACTGAAATAAATTTAAACCTGTAATTAATGTAATTAAAGATCAAAAAAGCTGAATCGAGGCTATACGATTGATTTCTAAAACGCACGCCATTCCCGAACACAAGACCAAGTCTAAGTAACTTTTTAAGGACGCTTTGTAAACGAAATCAACTCCAAACAGCACCAATTGTGAAACGAAGTAAGATTAGCGCTAAATCGAGGCGATACGAGTGATTTCCAAAACGCCCGCCATTCGCGAACACATGACCAAGTTTGACAATCGTTCAAATGTTGCAATGGAGACGAAACCAGGTCGCTAGAGCGCGGATTGTGAAACGCAGTTGGATGAACAATGAATCGCAGAAATACTACGTATTTCACAGACGCCCGCCATTCGCGAACACATGACCAAGTCTGACGAATTCTACAATGCTGCAATTTTGACGAAAACAACTGCATAGATCGCCGAGTGTGAAACTGAGTAAGTTGAGCACTGAATCGCAGAGATCCAATGTATTTCAGACACGCCCGCCATTCGCGAACACATGACCAAGTTTGACAAATTATTTAATGTCGCTATGTTGACGAAATCAACTTCATACAGCACCGATTGTGAAACGTAGTGGGATGAGCGCTGAATCGAGGCGATACGATTGATTTCTAAGACACTCGCCATTCGCGAACACAGGACAATGTCTGAAAACTTATCACATGTCGCTATGTAGACGAAATCAACGCCAAACAGCACCAATTGTGAAACGTAATGGGATGAGCGCTGAATCGCATATATGTTCCTGATTTCCGTGACGCTTGCCATTCGCGAACACAAGACCAAGTCTGAAAACTTGTCCAATGTCGCTATGTAGACTAAATCAACTCCGAAGAGCACTGATTGTGAGACGTAATGGGATGAGCGCTGAATCGCAGAGATATTCCTGATTTCCGTGACGCTTGCCATTCGCGAACACAAGACCAAGTCTGACAAACTGTCCAATGTCCCTATGTAGACGAAATCAACGCCAAACAGCACCAATTGTGAGACGTAGTGGGATGAGCGCTGAATCGCAGAGATGTTCCTGATTTCCGTGACGCTTGCCATTCGCGAACACAAGACCAAGTCTGACAAACTATCTAATGTCGCTATGTTGACGAAATCAACTTCATACAGCACCGATTGTGAAACGTAATGGGATGAGCGCTGAATCGAGGCGATACGATTTATTTCTAAGACACTTGCCATTCGCGAACACAGGACAATGTCTGAAAACTTATCACATGTCGCTATAGAGACGAAATCAAGTGTAAAGAAAACCGATTATGAAACGTAGTGGGATGAGCGGTGAATCGAGGCGATACGATTGATTTCTAAGACACTCGCCATTCGCGAACACAGGACAATGTCAGAAAACTTATCACATGTCGCTATAAAGAAGAAATCAACGCCAAACAGCACCGATAACAATCGGTGCTGTTTGGCGTTGATCCAATTCAGCGCTCATCCCACTACGTTTCACAAAACGTAGTGGGATGATTTGGGTTCTAAGGGTTCTAAGACATTCGCCATTCGCGAACACAAGACCCAGTCTGACAAACTGTCCAATGTCCCTATGTAGACGAAATCAACGCCAAACAGCACCAATTGTGAGACGTAATGGGATGAGCGCTGAATCGCATATATGTTCCTGATTTCCGTGACGCTTGCCATTCGCGAACACAAGACCAAGTCTGACAAACTATCTAATGTCGCTATGTTGACGAAATCAACTGCATACAGCACCGATTGTGAACCGTTGTGTGATGAGCGCTGAATCGAGGCAATACGATTGATTTCTAAGACACTCGCCATTCGCGAACACAGAATCAAGTCTGAAAACTTATGAATTGTCCCTATGTAGACGAAATCAACGGCAAACAGCACCGATTGTATATTTTGATATTTGTATTTTTGGGTTTTCTATGGACTATTGGGTTTTTATTTAGGATGCGTAGGATTTAGTCCATGCCTTACGTCCTTGGCCACAATTGGCACATGGCTTTCCGTT